CATCATAGTCCCGAGTTCAGAAAGGATGTTCTGGGTCTGTCCCACACATTACCCCCCAGGAATCTGCCTTCCACCCCAGCACAGCCACATGCTCATTGGTGCTGAGTAATCAAGCCTGTCCCCTCTGAGCCTCGGTTTCCCAAGTGGAGCTTCTCAAGAAATTACAGAGATGCTGGAGACGGGAGCGACTATGCAGGGGAGCCTCAGGACCCCCACTCCAACTCCCCACCTATTACACAACCAACACGTCTGCTTCTACAACTGTTTAATATGTTTGAGTTCCAATAAGATTCTGCTGAAACACATCTTTTAGAGAAAAGCTTGAAAATCACTGGTCTAAATTCTCTCTCATTCTCTTGGTCCCAATTTTTATTCTACTCTCTCGAAAGGAACATAAAACAGCCCTATTCTGTCTCATCACACCAAGGTGTCCTTTGTCCCGGATTGCCAACTCATAGAGCAAACCAACAGCCTTTCCCTATGCTTCCCACCCATTTCCCCACCCTCCTGCCCAAGAAGACAGGCCCACCTCCTCCAAGCCAGTGAATCAGGTCAATGTGCCCATGGGAAATGAGGTTCCAAGCGTCCCTGGACAGTTGGCAATTTCCCCAGGGTGGCACTGCCCGAGGGCCCTGTGTTAGTGGAAGGGAACGAGTCTCCACTGTCATTAGGATGGATAAGGGAAGGGTGGACATGCTCAGCAATCATGTCATGGAAAAATGTTTCTGCGGGCCTATAGCTGGTGTTACATTCTGGGCAAGTCATGTGTGTGAGAATAAAGACAACCATGTTGTCCTTCCTTTAATCACACTAAAACAGTCCTAAAAATAAAATGTCATCATAGGCGATGGATGCTCCCAGTCCCCTCTCAGCCCTCAGTCCTGCTTCAGGAATGGATAGCTGCTCCCAGGCATGGAAGGGAGGCTGGGCACTCCTGTCTCTGGCCTAAGGGCTTTGGTACATGGTGTGGTGAGGAGCTGCAGTCCAGGGCACTAGGGAGCAGAAGCCATATTCTAAGCCAGCCTGCAACTCTCTCTTCTTGGGAGGCCTGTAGAATGCTCAGAGAAGGGGTACAGCCCCATCTGCCAGAAGCTGATGGCCCACATCACACAGGAGAGTTGTCACCACCAAGCGCTGCAGCAAGGTCATTACATGGACTGACTGCTCAGTTCAACTAGGAAGCTCCTATTATTCAATCTCCCAGCTGAGAAAATGAAGGCTCAGAGAAGGGAAGTGGCCGCATAAGCTCAGGAGAGGCAGAGCCAGGACTGATGCAAAGACCCCCCAGTCAGTGAGACAACACATGTATAATGCACCTTTGTCCACAGTGGGTGCTCAGTTGTCCCTGCTCTGCTCCCTCTTTTCCTGTGCTAAACAGCTTTCCATACCCCTACCTTTGGCAACTTTCCTACAAGTGGCTTCCAACAATCTCATCCCAGCTCAGGTCATGAGTTAAGGACATTTGCATGCACAAGTCCTGAGGACCCTCCTTTGGAGACTTCTAACTGAGCCAAGAGAAAGCCAAGCAGAAATTTGTGGAGTTCTAACAGGAACTGGCATGTACGCCCCTGGGACAAATGTGAGGCCAAGTCCTGTGGGAGCTGGATGTGACTTTCCAGCAGAGTCTGCCCCTGGAGGGGGTACTTGGTGATCACCCATGCCAGACAGTACCAAGTAGAACACAGAGATGATTAATATTTTGCTTGGAGTTACACAGCAAGCTAGTGGCAGACCTTTGATTTTGCCGTCCGGCACTCCCTCAACGAGAACGCACTTCCTGGATGAGATAATTTAATTAGTATTTGTCCAGCGCCCTGCAGTGAAAGGCAATCACCGCTTCTTCTATCCTCTGGAGGGGCTGAGTAATCCAGTCTCTTGATGCCACTTAATCTAAAATGTCTAGGTGACTCACCCACCCCAAGACTTTCCTCCAGAGTATTTACTTTAAGAGAACATCCATTTGCTCCATAATTCAAACAACTCCTCTTGGTTTAAATCCTAAAGAAACTACTTGGTATTGTCTTGTGTTTGTGTTTGCTATAGTTGTTGTTTTAAATATATGTGTCTGTGTGTGTATACACATATGTATATATGGATATGCATATACATTATAAATAACTATATATATTACATATATTTATACATATAATTCTATGTATATATGTACATGTACATATAATTCTATATATGTACATGTATACATATTATACATAGCCATGTATTTATATATGGATATGCATATTTTAAAATATATATCACCATTGCAGGGAACCACTGACCCTGCTCCAACATGACAACATCTAGCAACAGCCCAGTCAGCTCCTGTAACTACTCCAAATGGAGCATGACCACAGAGAAATGTGGTTGAGGGGGGCCCCTCAGAGGAGCCCCTGCCTCCTTGGGATGACTGATCTGTGCACGCCTTTGTATGCCTCAGGACCCTAAGCCTACCCTCAAATCTGCTGCCCATTCCCAAGTTTATTTTTAGGTCACCCCAACTTCCCAGCCCCGCCTCTCCAGCCCCATCTTCCACCTGGAACCACAGCTCAGAACCAGCTTTCAAATGCTGCTCTAGACCCAAGACACTGTCTCATCCCCTCGCCCTGCTTCATCCTAAAACCTCCCACCCTTGCTTTAAGGCACCTGGGCCTGAAGAACAAACATTTGCTATGATAAATCCCATTCCCTGCTTTCCAGATAACTTCTCCTTAACAGAGATAAGCTGCCAGGAAGACAGATAACAACTGGGATATGCAGTTATTAAGGGCAGATTTTAAAATGACAAAAGGATACATTTTAAAATAAAACCCACTTGAAAATCGGTTTCCCTTCCAACTCAATTACATTCAGGCCTCCTGCTTGGAAGCTCCTTACACTAAGAGATCCCAGCTCCCACTGGCTTCCGGGAAATGGAGGAGTGTTGCTGTGGTGACATGGAAGGCCCAACACCGGAGGCAAGAAGTGAAAGACAAAGGGTCTCCGCTCTGTCAGGCACCTGGAGTGGCCAGCATGGCCCCAGACAGCTGCCTAAGAGGAGGCAGAGACCCCCTGCCACCAAAATTCCCACCCACCACAGGGAGCATGGTGGCAGAGGTGAGCTGAAGGAAGAGGGTGGTGGCAGCTTGCAGGCAGGGCCTGATTGCCTGACCTCAGAGGAACACCGGGGGATGAAGCAAGTGCCAGCAGACATGAGCAGCCTTTCTGACAGGCAGCTGCTCTCTGCAAGGTCCTTTCAACATCAGAGTGACTGAAGGGGCTCCCTGACCCTGGTTTCCCCTTACCAGGTGGGACCAATAACTGATTCTACTGTGGTCACAGATGACCCAGACCAATGCTGACCACCCATCCCTGGTTCCCCAACAACCTCCCAGCTTGGACATCCCAAACAGACTTCACAGGTCATATCTGATACCCTTAACATTGCAGATTGTATCCAACCCCCTTCACATTATCACAGCATAGTGGTCAAGCCCCTTTATGATGCTGTAGACAAACCCCTGAACTCCAAAATGTCCTCATACTATGTGTGTCACCATCATATCATGAACATTTATTGAACTTCCTATTATTTCTATGACCATCTCATGGCTCTACCTTTTGACATAGGATGGGCTGAAAGTCCCCACTCCCACATCACACATGAACCCCCATCCTAGCCTCTTCCTAGGGAGCCAGTCATCCTCCTATTTGCAACCAGCTGTCACACCCTCCACATCTCCACCCAGCATCCTTCCACCTGATCCTCAAGAAGCACAGCCAGAATTTCTTCACCCAGATTCTCAATACACAACACATAAGTAACCCTTTCCTGGCACCACTTCCCCCAGCCAGTGCTGGAGGTCAGACTAGAGGGTCCTTGCCAAGAGTTTATCCTGCCTGAGATGTCATTATGCCCTTCATCTCCTGGGTACTGTCATTAGTAGAGATGCCTTCCTCAAAAGTATATTGAAATGTGTGTGTATGAGTGTTTGTGTGTGTGTGTGTGTGTATGTGTAATTACATGAGTCTGTGCCTGGGTATATGACAACCAGTTAACACTTTAATGTTTTCCTGATTAGACTGAGCTCTCTGCCCCCTTCACCCTATGAACGCTCCCATCCCTGACCCCGACAAGCACATGGGCCTCCTGTATGGGCCATTTCTGGAAATATATCCAAGCCAGTTAGGCTGGCCTGGCCCTGGGGAAGCCAGCCCCTGCCCTTACCCACACCCCACCACTGGCTCCACACTGGCTCATCATGACCATATCTCAGGTCCCTTGTTGGATAATTGTTCCAGTACCTTGCTTGCCACACTGACCTCTTGTTCCTAAAACCTATTAGACTCTTGACTTCATAGGACCCTCTTAACTTTGAGGGTTAAAACTGTGGATAAAAGCTGCCTCCCCATAATCACCCAGTCTTTAATTCTGAAAACTCCCCCATAGAGGAGAGAGAGGAGGCAAGTTCACCAGAAAGAGCCCCAGGCCTGCCACTTGCATTAGCACCAGATAAAGCAGTCCCATCCTGCATTTTGCAGTTCCTCTGCCTGTCGCTTCTCTCTCCAGTGGGTTCCAGCATGTCCCACTCCTCACTCTGTGGCTCATTTTTCTGTCCATGGCCTTGTCTCACTATTGCATCTGGCAGACACTCAATGGCTGTAACCTCTGACTCCTGCTTCAGCCACAGTCACACCTGTGCCTAGGACTGGACTGATTTTGGCCACTCTGGGAAAATACACTGCCCTTCAGGGCACACCCCAGGACCACACGGTTGGCCTTCTAGGCCCAAGTAGCAAAACCAGTTGGTGCCAGGGGCCCTGCTGCACTCAGAGACCGGATTAGCTGCACTTCTTGACTGGAAACCTCTCTGGGCGTCCTGCCCACCATGACCCCATCAATGGCAGCATCAGCAGGGAGAGGCTGGGAGGAGGGCCTCTGTGCCATGTTAACATGCCTGCTCAGAACACAGGCTCGCAGCATCACAGCAGGAAGAGAGGGAGCTGGGGGCCATGAGGTTTACCTTGCGCATGTCTTTGCCAAAGGTCTCGCTGTAGGTCGTGCCAAGGATCTCAAACTGCACGTAGGGATTTGAGCTGTCCACCCGAAACTCCATCACCCCTGTGAGGCCAGTGATATGACCCTGTAGGAAAGAAGGAAAAACCACTAGAGGGAAGGGAAAAGATGGATGGAGTAGGGGACAGAATCTCCAAGGAATAAAAGGGGGACCAAGAAAGAAACAATCAAGGTCTGGAGAAGGAATGGACAGACTTGTAATGAGGAAGAGCCGCTGGCAATCCTAGGACCTCAGAGCAGGATCGCCACTTCCCAGGCCTTGCCCACTGGGGAAATTCCTAAGGCTTGCACCTGTCATCCAGGCAGGCAGTATGCTCAGGGCACCTGCTCTGTGCCACGTACAGCACTTGCCATGAAGTTAAAGAGTGACAGCTTTTGTCCCCACACTCCAGGAAGTTATAGTCTTCCCTTGCAACCTGCTCCAGGCACTCTTCTTAGCTTGAGCCAAGAGCAGAGTCGAAGGTTAACACAGCCATATCAGGCACATGGCAGTAAGTTACAGGGCATCGAGCATGAGCACTGGAGGCCAACACTAGCATAAGTCCTGGCTTTGCCACCTATACCACCTTGCAAAAACCATCTGCCATCTCCTGGCTTCAGCCTGGAGTTAATCAGATCCATATCACAGAGCCTGCAAGGACTGAATGATAAAATGTATACACAGCACGGACTGGACCTGGTGGGTGTGCAAGCTCTGCACATCTCTCTGCCACTCAGTGGGCTCTGTAGAGCAGGTGGCAAGAGGCTGGGTGAGCCTGTGGTAAGTCCCCGGCTTTCTTCAAGCCTGGGGTGGGGTCTTATCCAGCTTTGACCTCCCACACTTTGTTAGCTGGGAGCATTCCAGGGACTGAGTTGGCCCAAAGGGGCCCTCAGCTCTGGCTTGGGCTGCATTAAATTCAATCTGAAACCAGAATATGTGCACTGCTATTGAAACCATGCACAATTTATTGTGACTAAAATTCCCACCACTATAGATCTCCCTAAATGCTCTTTGGAAGCCTCTAAGCACCAATTCACTCTACCAAGTCTTCTGTGGATTACCCAATTCACTTCCAGTCCAGCCAAAACATGGTGTCATGCCTCAGCATGTGGAACATGTCACAAGAGCAGAGTGCATGTGCACACACACATCAATGCACACCTACACATCCATACATGAACACACAGAGACACACACACACAAGTGAGGTCTTGATTGGGCACCACGTGCATTGCCAAGTGAAACAACATCCCTTCTGCACAGTGGCAACCTACGTGGTGGGGCATCTGGCAGACATGAGCTAGGCAGTGGCCTCCACATTTTACTTACTTGTGACCTTGGGCAAGTTACCTAACCTCTCTGAAGTCCATTCTCCTTATATAAAAACGATGACAATAATAACAATAATAATAATAATGCATATCCATGAACCCCAGCTCACCCAACCCTCAAATGCTGAGACAGGAAGTGTGGCAAGGGCAAAGACCTGGGAGGGGCCTGCCAGAACAAGCACACAAAGAGCGCGGCTTCAGGCCACCTGCTGGAGGGGGCAGCATGAGGCAGAAGGTGCAAGGCTGGGCTTCAGCCTTTGCCTGGAAGGGTTACTCCCTCCACACACCTTTTTTATTGTGTCCAGCATGGACCTCCCTCCATTCCATGGCTTGGTGGACTTGCGTATACAGTTGAGGCTTGCCATGCTGTGCCACTTCCGGTCCTCCAGCTTCCTGTGGAAGGCATTGGCCAGCATCAGAACACTGTCGTACAAGTAGAGGTTGGAGATCTGCAAAGACAAAGGTGGTGAAACCCTTTCCACTGGTGCACTTCCAGAGAAGAAGAGAAATTGGTATAGGGCTGGCATGATCCAATAGACCAACACCAAAAAGCAGCATCCAGTTTCTATGCCACCATTCTCTGGCTTTCAGCAGTTCAATCAAAAAACCCAGCCAGGTCCTGGAGTCCTGGGTAGAATAAGATCCAGCCCTGCTCCAGGAACTAGAGTTGGAGGCTATCCATATATCAACAGGAGAACCAGCTTGATCAGTGCTGTGATGGAGACTTGTGCACAGTCTCTGTGCAATACTGGAGTGAGGCACCCTGTTCAGGTAACAAAGGATGGAGGGAAGGATGGGCAGATGGCTTGTATAGAAGGATTAGTATAAGATAAAGGGGGGGCAGCATCACAGAGAGAGCACAGCATTATGCAAAGGCATGAAGGTGCAATGGAGCAGTGTCAGGGAGGGCAGGGCCCACCAGCATTTCCTATAAAGGATCTGAGAGTAAAAGTTTAGACTCTGTGGGTCTTACTGCCTCTTTTGCAACTGCTCAGCCCTGCTGTTAGAGCAAGAAAGCAGCCACAGACAATATGTAAACAGAGGACGTGCCAATAAAACTGTTCAAAAAGCAGGCAGCAGGCTGGATTCAGCCTGTGGGCCACAGTTGGTTGGCTCACTCCTGGATGAGAGGGACTTAAAACAGTTCAAGGTGTCTGCCTCAGTGGGCAAGTAGGGAGGAAACAGGATCAAGAAGGAAGCAAGAACCAGGGGTCGAGCCATGCTGAGCTTCATAGGCTGAGCTAAAGAGTAAGTATAGAGGTGACTTTAGTGGGGAGAATGTCACTGGAGGAGCTGTGCCCTGGACTGCTCTGGTCCCTGGACAGGCCTAGGGTGGACGGTGGCCTGAGTGGCACTGTGGCAGCTTGTGGTGATAGAGATTCCAAAGGCCACAGACCTGCCCTACAGTCCCTGCCAGCCTGGGATTTGCAACTGTGCACATCTGAGAACCACCCCTCTGTTTAGCCATCCACAGTAGAGCCGGATCAGAGAGACACAGCCATCTCAGAGCTCTCAGGAGCATGGCTATAAGGCAGAAGTTGGAATAACAGTGCCTGCCTCAGCCTCCTGACTGTGACTGAGGACCTGATCGGGATGAGCAGCAGCCCCCGCCCTCAGGAGCCCGTCAGGAGCCCTCTACAGGGAGGAAGGCAGCTCCATTCTCAGATGCTACCTCCACCCCAGCCCAGTGCTCCACAGGGGTGGCAGGGAGTACAAAGGGAGGTGAGGAAGGGGAGGGAGTGGGGAGGAGGTGATGCCCACCTTCATTCAGCTGTGTGGCTCTTCCAGCTAACTGTTGCACAACCAACCACCAGCCAAAGTGGGTCAAGGGGACAATCCTATCTCTCGCACCTAAGCAGCAAGGTGTCTGCTAAAAATATTTCAGAAAAACAAAATCACTGGGTATAAATAGAATATGTCAGCCTCAAAGAATGCCTGAAAAGATCAAGTAAGGTCCTTGGGCTACAGGAAGACCCCTGCTGCCTCCCGGCCTTACCTCCCACCATTCCCCAGTATGGACCTTATACCCCAACACCTTGTTCTCAGCTTGCAGCTTCTTTCCCCTCATGTCTTAGATGCGGTACCCCAAAAGCAGAGCCTCAGACTTGGGTAATGGGAACTCTCCTCTACAATAAAAATCAGAAGTGGACCACGGGAACTGGTGTGGGATATCAGAACCCCTGCTACATCATGCCTATCCACTTAACCCTCAAGGACCAGTTCAGACAGAGCTGACTGCTCCTTCTGTGGCTGTCCCTGTGCCCTACCCACTCTTACAGAGCCTAGTCCTATCCAACATCAACCTGTGTCCTTGCGGTGGGCACAGGGACATATGCCCCAAAGGCCTGTGTGCCTGGCTCCTCTCCATGGTATAGGTGTAAGAAGTGGGTGGAGGATGGATGGAAGATGTCTCAGAGGTGGCAGAAGTGTCCCTGGGATCACTGAACACCACTGACTGAAGCTAAAGCCTCAGGTAAAGGGGACCTTTCTCAGGGCCTGGCAGTACACAGGTGCTAAGCTGACAAGAAAGAGAACTTTTTCCCCCACCAGGAATATTCCTCACCCCTGTCCTCCAGGGAACACCACGACAGAACTGGGTCTCCCACCCTCAAGCCCTAGGGAAGTACTTCCTCAGTGGGAAACACCAATTCCCTCCCTGCTCATGTCAGTCCCCCAGCTCTCAGGAACTCCTACCACTGAAAAATAATTTTTGACATGTCTACCTCCCCTCTGGAATACAAATCCATAATGGAGATGTTGTCCTAAGAGAATGTAAGCCACTTAGAGTTGGCTTGGTTTTCTTTCTTATTTTGTTTTTCCAAAAGAACGGCTCAAAGTCAAGAGTCCTTGATGATGTGAAGATTTCTCTTCTCAAGACATTCATGCATCTCTCAGCCACCCACTCAGAGCTGATGCTATTAGCCAGCCAGGACCCTTTGACCTCCATCGCTACCCCTACACATGCCCCCACATCGCTCAGTACACCCAGCTGTGGCCCAGACCAACACCTAGTGGAATTACCCTTTTTTGCTTCCAACACTTGTATTCACAATGAATTAAGGTACTTAACAACTGTATGAATGCAGAGAGCCTTGTGATGAAGAAGAAAAATGAGGATGTGACTCAGAAAGGTCAAAGGAAGCCCTCAGCCCTCCCATAAGTATGTCTGCTCGGCAACATGAACACATTTCAATTCAGATGAACAGACTTTCAGCTCAAAAGCTCTAGCAATGCTCTTTTCCCTGTACATATATATATATGGATGGACTTTTTTTCCCACTATCTCTAGAACCCAAAACTCGGTGCTGACCAAAGCCCATGGTTCATACTTAATGTATGTTTGATGGATGGATTCATGGTAGATGGATGGGAGGATGGATGGATGGATGAGTGGATGGAAGGAAGGAAGGAAGGAAGGAAGGAAGGATCCCCTGCTAAGAAGGCACACACTGATCTTGGTTCACAAAAAGGGAAAATGAAGAAAACAGCAGGAAAGAGATGTGCTGCCTCCAACTTTGACTTGGGAGGAAACCTCCCTTGTTCAAACAATGATTTGTTCCTCATTTATAGCCTACTCAAAAGGTCTTCTTTATCCTCCCTTGGAACTGCTTCCAACTTTTACACTCATCCAGCCCCTTCTCCTGGAAAGATGTTATCTCAGCCTTCTTCCTGACTCAGGCAGAAGCTCAGACTCGCCACGCACTCCTGCTCTCCAACCGCAGCATCCTCCCTTAGGTGACCTGCCAGGGTCACTGGTGGGGATGCAAAGGGAGGCATGCTATCCTCAGTCTGGCAGTGCAGAGAGGAGACCTTCGGGGAAAAAGATCAAGAGCAGGTAGTGGAGAGGCAGCCTGTGCTTGGGGCTCCCTCTAGGTCCTGGGAAACAGCAGAAGAGGCCTTTCCTCAGGGTAAGGGGGTGGAGACCAGCATCCTGCCCAGAGGCGAGAGGAGCAGTCCAGAAGGAGGGAAGCTCCCAGCCACACATGTGCTCACCTGCAGTCGGGCTCCAGAAACTAGCAGCCCAAGCTGGGGGTAAAGGCCACAGGGTCAGAGGAGGAGCCTGGCCTGAAGGAGGCCATGCCTCTTTCCCTCCCTTCTCAGGGGACGCAGAACCCAGAGGTCATTCTCAAAGGAGAGCCAAACAGAGCAAACTCTGTCACTATTTAAGCCTTTGTATTCTCTGCCTGGCCTAGGAAGACTGCAGCACAAAAGTGACAAGGAACCAATAAAAGTATTTCAGGTGAGGGTGGACATGAGAAGTGACAGCAGGCCAAGGGCATGGCAGAGGAAAGACCCAGATGCAAAGCTAAAGACTTGGAAACAGGTGAGAGATGCCAGAGAAAGTCAGAGGCAGACAAGAGGTAGAGCCAGGCAAGGGACCTGAGGCTTTCCTGGGAGGCTGTGGCCTCTATTCTAGGTGAGGACAGAACTGGAGGGGGCCCACTGGTTCAGTCAGTACCTAGAGAGTTAAGCTGAGGTCCTCTTTCACTGCCATACGGTAAGATTCTTCCACCGCGTGTGCACCTTGGCCAGGTGGCCTAGAAGGATGAGCCAGAGCTTTAGAGCCATCACAATCCAAGCCAGCTTTGCTCTGCTGTTCCCCAGTGTCCCCAGCAGTGACACATATGGCAGGCATTCAGTAAATGCTTATCCAGTGGGCGAACTGAATCTCCATTTGCACACTTGCGGAGTGATGTTGAACAAGTTATTTAATGCTCTAGAATTATCTTGATGATAAAAAAAATACAATGTGATGACCTGGAGAGGTATGGTGGGGTGGCCCTGATCTACACCCGAGGAATGGAGATGGTAACACCCGTGTGCCAAGCACTGTCCTAAGCTCTTTAGGCACCATTTTACTTTTGGAGGGCAAAGAGACAGGAAGAAATGGAAGGGGAAATAAAGGACCAAGAGGCTCCTGACTTCAATATAGGTGATCTGAGAGCACCTCCAGGTGTCCCCAGGTGCTCGGGTCCAGCAGAGTCTGGGGGACAGAAGCATGGGGGATAGCAGGAAAATGAACTTGTATCTCCCACGCCACCTGCCCTCTCTCCCAATGCCCCTTGTTCTGAAAGTGTGGGGGCCCGGCCTACGGCCGAGGCTGAGCCCCACTCTAGCTGACAACGCCCTAAAGATGGCGCCTGCTTCCTGCTCACCACCCTTTCCCCTCTTCCCTGTTGGGGATTGGCCCAGCAGACTTCCGTACCCATGCACAGCTCGTGCTGCCCGCTTAGAGTGGCGTGTGACACCTATC